ATGTGATTCTGAAACAGTTTTAATGAATCAAATTCTAATTTTAGGAATTTATAGAGAGAAACAGGAATCCTAATGAACACAGAAAAATAGGAAATTTCTGGGTTAGAATTGAAGATTAAGCCTTAATGATTAATAAAATGTAAGTATATTCAATAACCACCTTGTAATTTCACATTTTAGATACTCTCTCATAAATACTTTGAAGTAAAGCTATAATTAGCAATTAATTAGGTGTTATCAGTATTTCTGACATGGATTCAGCTTTGACCAGAATCCCACAAAATTCTGAAGCACATTCTTCAGTTGAAAAACATAAAAGTTATACTTGCTATGGACATGATGGTTTTTGCTAGTTTAAAAGTCAAGTTCTTCCAAGCACAACACAAGCATCAGACAGAACTGGAGGCTCAAAATGAATAATCCAACTTTCATTACATTTGCATAAGTTATTTAAAATTAAAAAGTGCATGCTGATCAAACCAATTTAGGGTGGGGGAGAATAAAATAATAATCAGATTTTAATATTTTTATATTACAATATTAGAGAAGTGCAAAATTTATTTAAAATGAATCAAAACAATTATATTCCAGTGTGCTGTCTATGCACTGGAAGAAACTGGTGATTCCAAAGTTCTATGTCTAGATGATGTTTGATGGGGTGCTCAATATTACACAATGGCTAGAAATCTGTCCAAAGAGCTCACAGAGCAACATGGGCTGGAGGCTATAACCAAATTCTACAGAATCTCCTCAAACAAGAAACTGAATAATATTCAGGCATGTAATTGTCTAAGAGAAAGCAATGGAAAGAATAGAGATGCATTTACTAAAGTTGCTCTAGAATTTTAACAGACTTTAAATTAACATGCTCAGCACAAGCAAATAAACACAATCTAGACCTACAAACGTGAATTTCAAAACTACTGTTGAGACATATATGTAGTGTGTATCAAAAGATACTAATAAATTCACCTACTGAAACATACCATCAATAATACAAGTAAACTGACTTATTAGCAATGTTGAAAGAGAAATATTCAGGCTCTTTATATATAACACCTACTAAAGGAAAATCTACTGCAAACTATAACAAATCCATTTATTTCATTTACCAAGTATCCACTATTTTTTTCTTTTGTAACCCATACTACCTAAAATTAATAAACCACTTTTAATTCAAAATCTTCCAACCTGATCATAAATCTGGATTATACTTTCTTCCTCAATTTGATCTAAATGAGTCAGAAGAGAAGAAGCCTATGGTAATATTCAATTCCAACAAAACAGAAGTTGAAAACATCACAATGTATAAGAATATTACAAATATGCAATATGTACTACAAAATTGTATACATTGTCCATCATTTGTTTGAATACAGAAAATATATAATTTCACAATATCAAGAGAGACATTGTTATGCATGACAGAGATTTATGGGCATTTCCATTAACAAGGATACCATTTTCAGAATTAATAACAGTAGTAAGGTATAAATGACTATAGCTTAAACTGATTCTATTTAGTTAGAAGCTCCAATACTGAACTGATAAAATGCTAAACTATTTATGATAGTTAAATCTTACTTTTAATTGCTTGTCCCCTAAAAGCAACCTAGAAAAATAACAGCCGTACATATTGCAAAAAAATTTGTTTAAGGAGTAAATGTGGTTAATCTAGTGTTAGACCTCACCAGTTTTTCTCAGATGTGGATTGAATATGAACTCATAAATACATAACATACTCTGAGAAAAATATTTCTGGATTTCTAAAATATGTAGCCCATTCATTAACATATCTCACCAAAGCATAAAAAAGCTTCTGAAGAAAATATTTATTGAATATCAACAAGAAGTGTGCTAAGAAGGAAGGGTATAAAATGAAGAAGACCCGCCATGACTCTTAAGGAGTTTATAATCTGGTGGAGGCACAAGCAAGTAAACAGATCAAGTTTCAGATGTGAGGGGTGAGTGCTCGGTTAGAGGTAAATGCCAAAAGGTCATGACAGCACACTGGAGAGGCCCTGCCCAGTGTGGCTTCCCATTATGACCAGCTCGCATTGCTAGTAGAATCAAGGCAAAGCTCCAGAAGGTTGTTCAGAAGGAGTAAAACCTAAACTGAATCTTTAAGAATGACAGGCTACTCTGGTAGGGTAAAGGCCCATGTGGGAAGAAGCTCTACAACAATCTCAGAGAATCTGTGAGATTCAGACAACTGACGGAAGCCAGAAATAAGACTGAGGAAATAAGTAAGCAAGCGTTAAACCCTTTGTGCTTGACTACACACATGATCCTCTCCTAAGCGCAGGAAAGGGCCCATGAAGGGCAAAGCAGGAGAGCAGGGATGTGATCAGGGATGTGATGTATTTTAGAAAGTCAACCCTAGAAGCAACATAAAGCAGAACAAGGCAATGGAGAGTTAAATTAAAGATCCAAAATAAAGGCATCAGGGCTAAGAGAACAGCTTTGGGAGAGAATAAAATTGAGAACAAGCAGAATGTTGAGATGGCGGATGGAAGAAAGGAAAATTACCACCTATTTTCAGACGTAATCTATTCCGTGGCTGGTGATGCTCCTCACTGAGATGTACAATAACTGCCCTGGAGGAGCAAGTGAGATAAACTGGCAAGAGGAGGTACAATGAGCTCAATTTTCATGTTCTGAGTTTGTGGACCTATAAACTTCCAGGCAGGTATTTCCAGAGGAAAGGAAAGAGCATTGAATAGTAAACTATTAAACACATTCTCTTTAACCTTGCAAGTATCTGTAGTAGGAGCTAACAGCAAAAATCTATGTGAGAATCCTGTAGGCATTTCAGGTAACATCTTTTTAATTTCCTCCCCACACTGAAGATGAAGAAGAGTTTAAATTCTGAACGGTTATAAGGTATTTCAATGCCACAGGTGACCGACTTTACAGCTTAAATCCATACTATGTTACATTAAGCAAAACACATTACATGTTTTAGGGCCAGATAAAAGTGGGTTCAATTCCAATCTCTGGTGCCAGACAACTGTTTGACCTCAGTTCAGACACAGTTTTCTCATATGCAAAACAGCAACCTCTAGAATTACACTGCAGATATATGGTAAGGATGGGAGGGAGGTATAGACAATGCTGGACGGACTGTGCATGCGGCATAAATGGCACTTATTGTTAGATCTGTGCCCAGAGAAAGATTTCTGCTTACAGTAAAATAGCTATGATGTAAGTATATTTTCTTATATCTTACTATGTACTTTATTTTAATTCTACAATTCTTTATTCTACATTTCAATAAATAAACTATTTTTCAACATTCAAGGTCATTTAAAGATTTTGTTCAGATAGAAATAATTTCGGTGCAAAGGATGGTATTTTTGTATTTCTGTAGTGTTGAATACCACAACAAGACACCCCAAAATGATCAAGCATGTAGATGTTGTTGAGAGAGCTTTGGACTTGGAGTCAGAAGACCAGTGTGAAGTCCCAACTCTGCCACTGGCTAGCCATGCCAACACGGGCAAGTCATTCAGCAGCTCAGAGTGTCCCTGTGAACATTGATGGGTTGAACAGATTGGTTTTTGTGTTCTAAATCTAAATTTAGCAAATAGGGGCAAGCTGACAGGCCTGGAAGGGCACTCTAGATTTTTGGTCCTCAAACCTGGCTGCACATTAGCATCACTGGGAACTTGAAGAAAACATATTTTTAAAAATAGCAACCTTAAAACATCATTGGAAGGACATCAGAGTTACTGTAAATATGTTATTTACAAGTTCTGGATATTACTTTCTAAACGATGATATGGAGCATCTTGGATAACACCTCACTCATTAAAATATAAAAACATATTCTCTTTAACATCAACTGCACTGGAAACAAAATTTCTTTCTTATGTATATACACATGCTGATGGAATCCACCATCCTTTTTGTTAGGAATCTATCTGCTTTAGTACTTAAATTCCATGACCCCAGAAACCTCTGTCTCTGGAAAACAGGCACGAGTTGGTTACCACACACACACACACACACACACACACACACACACACGTGTGTGTGTGTGTGTGTGCACATTTTAGGTATAAATCACCAGTGCTCCTCTCGTGAAAGCCATCATCCATTCCTGACTCAGGTACATGCTCACACTTGCAGACCTCTGATTCCAGCAAGACCCCAAAAAAACCAATGCATGGGGGAGACAGAAAGCAGTCATGCTGAGTAGCATCCATTTGTTAGGAGTCTATGTTGTAACATTTAAATTCAATAGCTAGTATCCTAGAAAAAAATTTTGAAGCCCATGCCTCCTGACTGTCATTTTTACCTACTTTTCTAAAAATGGTAAGTGCATGCCTTTTTCCTTGTGATATCACTAGCTGTGTGCACACAGCTTGGGCAATAGTCTCCAGAAGTGTGGAGAAACCTCCCTCCTTCTGGCCATACACAGTAAAGAACTAGCGTCACAATGAACTACTACTAATGTCACAGTAAACTACTATATGGAGGAAAGACCATATAAAGCCTTTCTCTTCAGGAAATGCGAATCCTCAAAGGATTGTCACCACACTGGCAACAAACTAGCAAGACAAGGAATACCCTTGAGAAATGTGGTTTTCATCCCCAAAATGAGCAAAAAGCATGCTAATTATATACTTTCTCTTGCTACGCTTCTAATAGCCAACAATACATATGCTATCCTGTATATCTGGGACAAAACATTATAAAGGAAGTGCATATAAGTTCAGACTGTCTAAAATACACAGCATGATTTCAACACCCTCATCCTTCCACCACTGGCTTTCCAAGGTAAAGAATCAAGGGAGATATAAAATGTGACATCATCAAATAGAAACAGCATACATCTCCAATAGTCAGTTTTATGGCCTTAGAATCCAAAAAGCAGCAAAAATATATTCACAAAAGACTCACTGCTTACAAAATATTCATGTTAAGTATGGTTTTGAGTACTTATATCATGACTTCTTTTTTTTTTTTAACAGAACTGAGTTTGGATTCAGACTTACTGATTGTTCATTTAAATCCTGGGAGTCTTCCATGTGGTTGTCTCAATTTTCCTGCCACTCCCAAGTAGAAGCAGCTTCCTTCAGTTACAAATGGACTATCTAAAACCAAGAGATGGAAATAAAGGGGAAAAAGAAAGGGTTATCTTTTCATTCCTTCATAAAGTTACCAAAACATATCAAGATTTAGTCGGACTGTTGGTGATTTATAGAAGGATGTTTTTGAAGAACAAAATTTACTAATATTATTTTTATAGTTGATATAAATAATAAACTGAGATAATCAGATAACTATCCAAAACAAGGTACACATCGCATTTTCCAGTAAAATTAAAGTGGAAATAGACTCTAAAAAAAGCCAGTATAAATTTTAAATTCCCAGATAGAGTAGGATCTTACAATTAGAAGATAACACAAAATAGCCACATACTCCTCGCAATCCCCCACCCTCTCTCTCTCTCTCTGTCACACACACACACACACAAAATCAAAATTCAAAGATGCATAAAAGACTTGAAAGAAATACCTCCCTTCACAAAAATCAACCACAATGGGCTAACATACTTAGCATATAATGAGCTGTTACAATTCAAATGCAGAGACATAGTTACTCTATAAAATTACTGTCAATCACTACAATGTTCAAGCACACAAATAAATATACTTTAAAATAAGAATGATACATTCCTAGCCCTTCAAATTCTCCTTTTTAAAAAATGAAACTAAAAGAAAAATAAGAGAAAAAAATAAAAGATGATCTCTTAAGCATAGACATAAATTATAAAAAGTATAGACGTAAGTTATTAAAACCACATTTCAATGAATAGTGACATCAAAAATTTTGGAAAGTATTATTTAGTTGGAAAAATACTTCACACAGAAACAAGAGGCTACCAATGAACTTTACTATCAGTGCAGCAAGTGTTTCTGTGAGTGCCACATATGTCCCTCTACCTATTCCTTACTACAGCCAGGTAGACATGGTCTTAATTTTTTTTTATTTTGTGCTTTGCAGTGTTTCCAAACTAAACTTGTTACCTTTCTTAGTTAATGCAAGATGCTTTAAAATTACAAGAGAAATTGAAAATGTCAATTCTAAAATGGCCTATGCTTATAGAAACACAGAGACAAAGATGAATGATGTTAGTTTCCATTAACAGATAGGTCAGAAAATAATAATGTAATATATGTAAGGTGCATGGTCTCAATGAGAGTGATTCAAAATATTCCCAAACTAGGAAACCAACATTTTGAAAAGAAATTCCATTTTAAAGGGCATGTAAAATGAGGAAAGGGGATATAAAGTATATTATGAGGTATACTGAAGAGTGTAACATTGTATGGTCAGCTGAGAAATGGTGATAGAAAAGTTACAACTTCCACCTTCTAAGCTCATGCCTTCATCTTGTTCTTCTTACTCATCCAGACATCCAGGTCACTCACTCTAGTCCTAGTTCCTACTCCTCCATACTTTGCTCCTCTTTTCCTAGCAGAATTCTGGAGCTGATCCTTGGTCTTGGGCACTCCTCCCAGACTCAGTGATCAACACTGGCTTGGGATACAATGTGTCTCACAATGAGTAGAGGCCACTTGTCCACCTCAGTTTGACCTGTCTGCACACCTGTCCATCTCACATGACCATCCTCCATCCTCCCAGGTGGATATCTCATGTTGGTAGCAAAATAAATAATATCTTATTGTCTCTGCTCCAATCCAAGGACCCTGAACAATTAAAACTAAATGATGCTAAAATAGCCTTGAAGGATCAGTTTAAACTATAGCATGCAGTGAAAATGAATTTCTGAATAGAATTCCAAGTGGCCTCAGCACAAATGTAATTACTATGTATTGAAAACATGTACTATTAAAAGGTTCTTCTAAATTTACACTTTAAAGGGAGAATAATCTCTTAAAGGGAAGATAGTGTGTGTTCTTTACATGACAGTAACCAATTGCCTCTATCTCAGTGCCTAGAAATTCTACGTGCTCAATAAATATAGATTGAATGAAGTTGTAATTATGGTATTTATTATAGTCTGATGAAAAGACTAAACAACTAGGTATTTATAGTTTGGGACATTGTATCTCAAATATATGGTTATTTCAGCAAAAATCTGTTTTGTCCTTATTTTTAGGTACATGGTTTACTCCATTTTACTTTTTTACTTTATATCTGTACAATAAGAACAAAAACATTTGAAAAAATACTACTTACTAAAGAAACTATTTTAACTTTTTGTAAAATTCAACACTGAAAATTATCTACCAGATAATTTCCTACTCATCTGACCTAAAAATAAGATACACTTTTAATAAAATTATTATTGATGCCTATTGGCATGTATAAGGTTAAACCTATTGTTTAAAAATGTAGCATGTTGTATTCATTTCCTAAAACTGCTGTAACACCCAAACACTGGGCGGATTAATGGAATACACATTCATTCTGGCATGGTTCAATAAAGTAGAGGTCCTACATCAAAGTATTGGTATATCTACGCTCCCTTCTTGATAGGAAAAAAAAATCTTTGTTTGTGCCTTTCTGGCCTTTGGTGGCTGCTGGAAATCACTGGCACTCCCAGTCTCTTCCTCTTCCCAGGGCACGCTTTCTGCCTCTCTCCTCATGTGACCTTCTCTGGCGTGTCTCTGTCCAAATTTCCTCCTCTCTTAGATATACCAGTCATTGAATTAGGGCCTACCCTAGGCCGGGAAGACCTACCTCATTGTAACTTGATGACTCTTTTCACAAATAGAGTCATACTCACAAGTATGGGATAAGGGTTTGTACTATCCTTTAGAGGAGACAATTCATCTGAAATGTGTGTACAAGTATTAACACTGAAATTATTTTAGGATGCAATCAAAGTTTAACTGTAATATTTACAGAAAGGATATATAAAAATTAAATTAAGAGTATTGATTATCAAGAAAGAAGTGGTAATTTCTGTGAAGGATCACTATCTCAGTGCACTTTTGCTAACCTGAGGAAAATTAAAATTAAGGCGTCAGAAAAGATATTGGAGCATAGAGAATGAAGTCAAAACTATTCTCTTTCTTTCTTTTTCCTTTTTTTTTTTTTTTTTTTTTTTTTTTTTTTTTTTTTTGCTAAAGCATCAAAATGTATTTAGTGTTCCAGTCAGGGAGTTATTTGTATCAATACCCCACGTTACACCATAGTACTTTGCTTTATATTTCCTTGACATTTAGGCTGATTGTTTTTTAGCTCTAGTTTTAACAGTAACAGGTATTTCATTCTTTGCCAAACTCACTAAGGTACCAAAAAGTTATGAGTCCAGTAATTTTATATTATTGAACCAAGTAAAACTCCCTAGATTAACTGCAGACACAGTATTATTTTACACCATAATTTAGCAATAGTTGTTATGCCAAATCCTTTAACGTTTAGTTTTCACAAATATATGAGAAAAGGATAAAACATTCTTCAGATTAAGTAAGAAAAGAATTACTTTATAATAAAGATATAAAATTAGGGAATAACTGTAACCTCATGCTGTTTTATGAGGCAATAATCTAGCTCCCAGCTCTGTCTCAAGGCCATTCCTCCAGAAAAAGTGAATTTTGAACAGGAATAATAGCAACCCCACGTCTCTATCTCAATTCTTTCTCTTTCAGATAAGTTTTGAAGATCTACACCATTCATGTTATCCTTGAAATCTGCAGTAGAAGTGAGCTATCAACTCTTGCATCTTATAAAGTTAGAATAAAAATTTCAACAATTTTAATTCAAATATATGATATGCATACATACATATGTATGTAAATTTTAATATAATTCTCAGAAATGGAATGAAATGCCACAGGCTAGTTTAGGGGGGAGATTTCAGCAAGGGACCCTCATCTTTGAGGAACGAGAGGATGTTAAAGGGGATTCTGCAATGTGCACCTTTTCCTCTGTCTTTCTAATTAACCTCTGGTTAAAAAACTGGATTGAAAAAGTTCTACATCTTTTGCAGGAGGGGAAGGGACCAAGAGTTGGAGAGAAATGAGAACAGATTGAAGATGTGTTACGTACATGTACAAACTCCTCACCACAAATGTAATCATTTTGTATTACAAACATGCACCCATAAAACTTCCTAAATGAAAAATAAAATGGGATGAAATGATAAGTTACCCTAACCAAAGAAACAGGAACATTAAGAGGATGGGATAACATGAATTGTGTAGAAGTGGCATAGAACAAGGACTGACACTGCGCATGGGCTCACAAGACCTTTGGATTCTGCCCACGGGTGGCACCACCTTCCCCAGGCACAAAAGCCACACATGCACACTTTGTCACTGACCCCCTGCTCCTTCCCTCAGGAAGAAACCACAGAGTCCTCTCAGTACACCCCAACTTTGCTCAGGTCCTCTCCATGCTCCTTGCTTTCCATCACCCCTACCTGAGCTCAAGCTACCAGTGGTCTCTGCTCAGACAAGAGCAACCCCACAGTTTAATGGCCTCCTTCTACCCAGTCCTGGTTCCAAATGTCTCAGCACAGCTTGAGTGATGATTCTGTAAAAGACAGCTGAGGACTCCCTTATAACAATTCTAACTGAGCCTCAGGATAAATCACACATTATTCCCTTGCTCCTACTTTGCAGCTGTGACTGTATCTAGAAGAAAACCATCTCTACCCAAATCCATCTCTACCCAAAAGGTGTCCAGAAGTCTGCAGAATTCGCTTCCCAGAGCTACTGTCCCAGGTGGAGTTTTGAGAAGGATCTCTCCCTTCCTTCCACCTCAGTTCTTGTGCTACCGTACCCACCATCCATCCCTCTCTCACCACTGTCTCAATTACCACGGTGAAGGCTGGGATCTATATCGGGAGTGTCTGAGAGAATGCAAGCATGCATGGTGGAGGAAAAGAATAAAAGAAACTCCAAATGCTTAGTGTTCCCTTAGGAAAGATTTAAAGATTGCGGGCTGCCAAAACTTTTCTCTCAGCCCATTTGCAGACGGTGGGATGGGGAAACAGGTGTCTGGAGACTCCTTCCCATGACCTCTGCCACAGCCCCTTGCAGGATAGGTGGGGCTTTGGAAAACATCTGTACCTGCGCAGTTGCCTGGGCCGTGGGATGGCTCCCTTGCATTAGTC